CAGGCATATCCTTCTCCATAAATGCAAATTTTTAATTAACAAAGGCAAGATTGCCTTTTTTTCATTAGAAAACTGAAAACATAACCATTAAAAATATAGAAAATTTAGAAAAATAAAAAGAAAAAATAGAGAAAAAAATTACTTGTGGTTCCATCACCCATAAACAGCTATGCTAACGTTTTTATGTTATTCTTTCTCTATTTATTTATTTATTCTTTCTCTATTATTTATGTGTGTGTGTGTGTATACATATATGTGTGTGCGTGTGTATATATAGTTTTTTTGAGACAGTCTTTCACTCTGTTGCCCAGGCTGGAGTGCAGTGGTGCAATCAGAGCTCACTGCAGCCTCAACTTCTTGGGCTCCTGTGATCCTCCTGCCTCAGCCTCCTTAGTAGCTGAGACTACGGGTACAAGCCACCACAATGCCCAGCTTTTTTTTTTTTTTGGCCTGGTCTGGTCTCAAACTCCTGGGCTTAAGCGATCCTCCCACCTTAGCTTCCCAAAGTGCTAGGATTACAGGCATGAGCCACCACACCTGGCCTCATACTTTCATACTTTTCTTTGTATTTTTAATATCTAATTTTCTCTTACCCTCCACTCCAGTTTTATAAAATAATGTTACATAAACTTTACTTAAACACTGTTTTTCAAAATGATTGCATAATATGGCATCATGTAGATTATACCATACTTTATTTAACCAGTCCCTACTCTTTTCTTTTTTTTTTTTTTGAGATGGAGTCTCACTCTCTTGCCTAGGATGGAGTGCAGTGGCACAATCTCGACTCACTGCAACCTCCACCTCCCAGGTTCAAGCGATTCTCTGCCTCAGCCTCCCGAGTAGCTGGGATTACAGGTGCCCACCATCATTTTTTGTATTTTTAGTAGAGATGAGGTTTCACCATCTTGGCCAGGAGGTCTTGAACTCCTGACCTCATGATCCACTCGCCTCAGTCTCCCAAAGTGCTGAGTTTACAGGCGTGAGCCACCTTGCCTGGCCACCAGTCTCTACTCTTATTAATACTAGGATGACCATCTTTGAAATAAATTTGTGAGTCTATGGTGGCTCACGCCTATAATCCCAGCACTTTGGGAGGCCGAGGTGGGTGGATCACGAGGTCAAGAGATCAAGACCATCCTGGTCAACATGGTGAAACCCTGTCTCTACTAAAAATACAAAAATTAGCTGGGCGTGGTGGTGTGCGCCTGTAATCCCAGCTACTTGGGAGGCTGCGGCAGGAGAATTGCTTGAACCCAGAAGGCAGAGGTTGCGGTGAGCTGAGATCGTGCCATTGCACTCCAGTCTGGGTAACAACAGTGAAACTCCATCCCAAATAAATAAATAAATAAATAAACAAACAAACAAATAAACAAATTTATGAGTCTAGCCATCATTTTCTTGGCTTAACTTCATAGACATAGAACCACTGATTCAAATGGTATAAATATTTTTAAGTTTCTTATATAATCTATTAATATTTCAAAAAATATATATGAAAATTGAGCAAGGTTATTCAAGATTACTGAGAACCAAAGAAATACACATAATGAGGTAACATTGTCACCTATCATAAAGGCAAATATTTATTTATTTGCTTATTTATTTATTTTTTGAGACGGATTTTCACTGTTGTTACCCAGACTGGAGTGCAATGACACGATCTCGGCTCACTGCAACCTCCACCTTCTGGGTTCAAGCAATTCTCCTGCCTCAGTCTCCTAAGTAGCTGGGATTACAGGCACACACCACCACGCCCAGCTAATTTTTGTATTTTTAGTAGAGACGGGGTTTCACCTTGTTGACCAGGATGGTCTTGATCTCTTGACCTCGTGATCTACCCGCCTCGGCCTCCCAAAGTGCTGGGATTATAGGCGTGAGCCACCGTGCCCGGCCATGGCAAATATTTAAAAGACAATGCCCAGTGTGGATAAAGATAGGGAGATATGTGTTCTTTTACAGATATATTGGTAGAAACACAAATTGGCCATTTAAAAGTATATATATACAAGTATCATATGAATATATTCTTGTAAAAATTCAATTAATATAGAAATATACAGAGTAAAAGTTGAAGGTTCTCCTTAAGTCCATCATCTCCAACTCCAATCAGTTGGTGCATTTCTGGAGGACAGTTAGAAAAGAAGTAGAATAGTTTCACAGTTTAGGCTTTGATACAATATTTTCACTTCTAGAAATGTAGTCCTCCTAGAAATGTAGGAGTGTTTACCCCAATATTATTCATAATAACAATAGCTACAACTTGTCAGCAATAACTAAGTGCCAGGAACTGTTCTAAAAATATAACATTCATTGAGTCATTGGATCCGGACATGGATCCTACAATAACCATAGATATTATGATTATGCCCATTTTACTGATGAGAAAACTGAGGTACAGGAAGGTCACAAAGCTAGCTAAGTGGCCAGAAGGATTCAAGTCGAGGCAGTCTGACTTGTGGGTCTATGTTATCCATCTCCATACTCTCTTGTCTATGCTTCTATAATAGTGAAAATATGAGAAGGGATCTATCAAGCAGGAACTTGTTAAGTAAATTATGGTACATCTATACAATAGAATATTGTCAGCTTTCACAGTGTTGCTGTAGACTGATATTCATCTACATGAAAGAAAATAATGGAGGCATAAAACTATATATCTATAATACCGTTTTTGTTCTTTTTCAATATATATAATTATGAGAAATTATAAATTTCTCTGTACATGGAGAAAAGAGTTCGGCAAAAATGATGAACACCAAAATCTCAACTGATTTTCTCTGGGAGCAGCATTATAATGTCTTGCTTTTCCTCTTAATACATTTCTATATTTGGGAAGTAAAATGATCCTACATTACTTTCATAATCTAAGCGAAGCCATAAAGCTATTTTTAAAGGAGTGTGACAGTTCCTACCTCTATCAGTGAATCAGTGAATATGAGAGCGCTACCAGCTAATTTCCAATCACTACTTCATGCAGACTTACCTAGATAAAGGGCTGCGGGCAGCGCACCGGCCTCAGCACTGAGGTTTCCTGTTCCTCAGCAGCCCAGAGGCAGAGTTTCCATGATTGCATGGGCGTAAACATCTCTGGGCACCCAACCACAGTGGAGTCTGGCTAGATTTCCAGTTTCTGGCCTCAAGATATATCTGTTCATTGTTGCTTCCTTAAGCACACTGGCCCCATCTGTTACCCTAGTAGATCTGTCTTCTGGAGCACACATGGAAAGACAACGCCCAGTGCTGATAAAGATAAGGAGATACCTGTTCTAGTCTAGCGACTACGTGAAACCTCAGAAACAATACCTTGAATAACCCACAAGGGTGACTCAGCAAGGTTGGTGGTTCTATGCTCTTCTAATCAATGACTCTATCTACCTGTCCATCTTTCTGTCTGCACTGATTTTGTTCCATGACCAAGCCTCCATGCTAGGTGCTGGAGAGATCTGACATAAATTATTGTCTATCAAGGAGACAAAAATCAGTATAACTGAAGTATTTATGGACAATTTATTCAATGGAGTTAGCAAACATCTGTTTGGTGACATCTGACAATCAGGCACTACTTGAGGATACAAAGAGGGAGCTCACAGTCAGCACTGATCACTTCAGAGAGGAAGTGTCATTTCAGTTGGATTTCAAAAGAGGAATAAGAGTTTGTCAGTGGAAAAGTGGGAGAAGGGCTGGTCTGGCTAAGATAATGTAAGTGCAAAGACACGGAGGCTGGAAGGAGTTTGGCCTGTTCAGTGAACACAAAGTCCAGGACAGCTGGACACAGGCAAGTGTTGAGAGGAGTGGCTCCGAAAGATTTAGATCAAGACCATGTTTATGAAGAGCTGAGACACTTGAACCTTCTAGTCCACAGGAAGCTAGCAAAGACTTTGATTCCATAGAGGGGCATAAGCAGAGCTACAGTTTAGAGGATGAAGACCAGTGACAATGTCATTGAGAAAACTGAAACAATCAAAAGAAAACTTCCAACTCCCACCGCATGTATCCACCTGCCTGCACCAGTGTACATCCTCTGCTCTTCCTCTCGCTGCTTGGATGAACTGAGCATTCCCGACTCACGTCAATCCCTGTGCGCGCTAGATCTCTTCCCCTCCTTCCTACTCAAGCAAATGGCTCCAGAAATTCTCCCCCTCTTGCCTACATTAACATATTTTATCTTTCTGCAGCATCACTGTCTTCAGCCTACAAATATGCTGTTATTCTATCTTGAAAAACTCTCTTGGCAGGATGCGGTGGCTCATGCCTGTAATCCCAACACTTTCGGAGGCCGAGGCGGGTGGATCACGAGGTCAGGCATTCGAGACCAGCCTGGCCAACATAGTGAAACCCCGTCTCTACTAAGAATACAAAAAATTAGCCGGACCTGGTGGCAGGCGCCTGTAATCCCAGCTGCTCAGGAGGCTGAGGCAGGAGAATCGCTTGAACCAGGGAAGCAGAGGTTGTAGTGAGCCAAGATCCTGCCACTGCACTCTAGCCCTGGCAACAGTGTGAGACTCCATCTCAAAAGAAAAAAAAACAAAGAAACAAAAACTGTCTCTTGACCCCATTTTCTCTTCCCGCATTGTTCCATTTCTGACCTCTTTACAAAACTCCTTGAAAAAGTTGTCAAATTCAATGTCACCTACTCCTCTTATCCTCTCCCTTAAATCCTCTCCAGTCAGGCTTTTTCTCCCTCTACTCCATCAAAACTGTTGATCAGGATTCCCAGTGACTCCACATTACTAATTTAAATGGTCAATTTACAATTTCTTTGTGACTTGACCCCTCCCTCCTCCTAGAAACACTTACTCGCTTGGTTTCCAGGTCCTCACATACACTGAGGTTTCCCCCTGCCTCTCTGACTGCTCCTTCTCAGTTGCCTTGGTCGATTCCCACCCGTGCCCCCAGCCTCTTCATGTCCCTATGTCCCAGGACTGGGACCTTGGCCCTCATCCCTTCTCTGTCTACATTCACTCCCTTTGTGACTTCATCCAGCCACAGATGGATGAGATTCTAGCCCAGACCTCCCAGACTCTGCGTCACCCAGGCTGGAGTGCAGTGTGTGTGATCTTGGCTCACTTCACCCACTCACTGTGTCGCCCAGGCTGGAGTGCGGTGGTGTGATCTTGGCTCACTGCAACCTCTGACTCCTCGGTTCAAGCGATTCTACTGCTTCAGCCTCCCAAGTAGCTGGGACTACAGGCACACACCACCATGCCCGGCTAATTTTTGTATTTTTTTGTAAAGATGGGGTTTCACTATGTTGGCCAGGCTGGTTTTGAACTCCTGACCTTGTGAGCCGTCTGCCTCAGCCCCCCCCCAAAATGCTGGGATTACAAGTATGAGCCACCCCACCCGGCCTCCAATTGCTTCCTTGACATCTTTATTTAGAGGTCTGTATAGTACTTATCTCAAATTTAACATGTCAAGGGTATCGTTGTAGTGTCCCTCTTGGTTAAAATATCAATTCTGCCAGTTTAATGATTATTACTACTTAGAAAGCAAGTAATGTAGTTGGAGTACAGCATACTTTGATACTTTGTGGGAATAAAACAGCCTTAGGCAGCCTTTCCTGAAACAGCTCCCTCCTTCTCCTCAGACCACTCTCCCCAGTTTCCAATGCTTTATTGTGCTTTCTCTTCACAGCAGGTATCACATCCTGAAAATATATTTGTTTGTTTATTTTCTGCTTTCCCTACTAGACTGCCTGTTCCAGGAGGGCAGACTATGCTGATCTTTCTCACTCCATGTGCCCAGAAGAAGGCCCAACATACAGCAGGTGCTCAATAAATAACTGAACAATGAATGCATAATCTGATTTTTCCAGAAGTAAGAACAGCAATAGTTTTCTTTTCTTTTTCTTTCTTAAGACGGAGTTTCACTCGTTGCCCAGGGTGGAGTGTACTGGCACAATCTCGGCTCACTGCAACCTCCGCCTCCCAGGTTCAAGTGATTCTCCTGCCTCAACCTCCTGAGTAGCTGGGATTACAGGCACATGCCACTTTTGTATTTTTAGTAGAGATGGGATTTCACCATTTTGGCCAGGCTGGTCTCAAACTCCTGACCTCGGGTGATTTACCTGTGCCTGACCTAAATTTGCTATTTCCCCCCTTTTTTTTTAAGACAGAGTTTTGCTCTTGTTGCCCAGGCTGGAGTACAATGGTGCGATCTCAGCTCACTGCAACATCCCAGGTTCAAGCGATTCTCCCGCCCCAGCCTCCTGAGTAGCTGGGATTTCAGGCACGTGCCACCACACCTGGCTAATTTTGTATTTTTAGTAGAAACAGGGTTTCTCCATGTTGGTCAGGCTGGTCTCAATCTCCTGACCTCAGGTGATCTGCTCACTTCGGCCTCCCAAAGTGCTGGGATTACAGGCATTAAGCCAGTGTGCCTGGCCTGCATTTGCTATTTCTAAAAAGTGCCTTGGGTGATTCTGTTGCTCTTAGTCACCAGAAAAGTCACTCGGAATCAGACGAAGCTTTAACCCCAGCCTGTCACCTAGCTGCATGACCATGGGGAAGCAACTTCTTCTCTGATCTTGTTTCCTTATTTGTAGATAACAGGCATGACCACATTCTCATGGAACTGTTATGACAATTAATTAAATTAAGTAATGGATGTAGAGTTCTTGGCATAATGCCAGTTGCTCAGGTAGCAGCCACTATGATATTATTACTATTTTATTTTTATGCCCAAGCAGAAGATTTTTCTTCCTGTGGGATCACTCTGGGAATCCCCTCAAAGTGGGTTTCTGAGACTAGCAGCATCAGCATTACCTGGGAGCTGGTTTAAAATCTAGAATCTCTGCCCCACCCCAGATCTACTGAACTGAAATCTGCACTTTAACAAGACCTCATTGAATGATTGCACATTCAAATTTAAAAAGGACTGTTCGAAGTCACATGCACTGTTTTCTTCCAGTCTCTAATTTCAGGAGTCTGCCCTGGAGGTTCGTGAGCCCTGGCATCCCAGAATCTGAATTGCTTCTCAGCAACAGTGGCTCTTCACCCTTCTAAGTGCAGAGGAGGAAGCCCCGCTCATTCTGGGTGCACTTCCCACTAAGGAAATAGGAGGAGGAATTCTGAAGCCTTGTGGCTGCTTCATGGAGCTCTGAACAAGTGCTTGGGATGGATCCAAACTCCATCTTGCTTTCTCCGCAGCGCCAGATCTGCTCCCACCTGGCAGAAGCCTGTATGGAAGGTGAGAGAAGCTCATCCCCTCCAGAGCTGGGTAGAGACCCCCAGTTTCCCTGGAGCCAGGTCTCCAGCCCTGCAGACCCCAACTGGTTTGGGGATGAACACATCCAGGCCAAGAGGGCCAGAGTGGAGACCATCATCCAAGGCATGTGCCTCTCCCCGAATCCTCTGGTGCCAGGCAGTATACAAGCTGGGGACACCCCACACTGCCCAGAGATGACCCGAGAGAGGAATAGGAAGCAGAGCCTTCCCATGCAGCAAGGGCTCCTGATACCAGCCCCTGCCTGGGACCAGGGCAACAGGAAGGGGGGCCCTCGCGTGAGAGAACAACTTCACCTGCTGAAGCAACAGCTAAGACATCTGCAGGAGCACATCCTGCAGGCTGCAGAGCCCAGGGACACAGCTCAGGGCCTCGGAGGCTGTGGCAAGGGAAAAGGCCCTCTGAGCACAAAGCAGAGAAGTGACTGTGGGCCTCGCCCCTGGGCTTCGAACAGTGACCACCAGCAGAGTTCCAGCAAGGACATCTCTGGGGCAGAAAAACACCGAGTGTCTGAGGCCAAATACCAGACTGAGGAGCCCAGGTTCCTTCCTTCTGGAGCACCAGCTTCACTGGAGATTCTGAGAAAAGAGCTGACCAGGGCAGTGTCCCAGGCTGTGGACTCGGTATTACAAAAGGTACTACTGGATCCGCCAGGCTGCCTAACTCAGCTGGGTAGTCAGGGGTGGGTGCCAGAGAGTAGAAGTGAGTCCTCACGTCCCATGGCAGAGGCCTGTGAAAATCCACTTGCTTTGGCTGCCTTGCCCAGGAGGGTTCAGCTACAAGCTGGAGTCCCAGTAGGAAACTTATCATTGGCCAAGACTCTAGATTCTCCTGGGTACCCTATCTCTCCAAGAATGATCCCCAAACCCTGTCAGGGTCCCCCAGCAAACTGTCCACTGACTGCACCTTCCCACAACCAGGAAAATCAGATTTGGAGCCAGCTACTGGGTCATAGATGCAACAATGGCCATTGGAGTAGCAGTCGTCCCCAGGACTCATCTTCCCAGAGGCACCCCTCCTTGGAGCCTGCCCTACAACCTTGGAGAACTACCAAACTGCAACCACTGGTCCTGAGCCAACAGCAATGTCCCCTGCCTTTCGCCTCTGCCCATCTGGAAAGTCTGCCCCTTCTTCCCTCAGTGAAGATGGAACAGGGAGGTCTGCATGCTGTGACTGAGGCGCTGCCTTTCTCTTCAGTCCCCATATCCTTTAATAGCAATTGAAGTTCTCATGTTGACCAGGTGCAGTGTCTCATGCTTGTAATCCCACGCTTTGGGAGGCCAAGGTGGTGGGAGAATTACTTGAGGCCAGGTATTCAAGACTAGCCTGGACAACATAGCTAGACCCCACCTCTAAAAAAAAAATTAGCTGAACATGGTGGTGTGTGCCTGTAGTCCTAGTCACTCAGGAGGCTGAGGCAGGAGGATTGCTTGAGCCTGAGAGTTCGAGGTTGCGGTGAGCTATGATTGCAGCACTGCACTCCAGCTGGGCAACAGAGACAACGGTCTCAAAAAATAAATTAGGCCGGGCGCGGTGGCTCACACCTATAATCCCAGCACTTTGGGAGGCCGAGGCGGGTAGATCACAAGGTCAAGAGATCGAGACCATCCTGGTCAACATGGTGAAACCCTGTCTCTACTAAAAATACAAAAATTAGCTGGGCATGGTGGTGTGCACCTGTAATCCCAGCTACTCAGGAGGCTGAGGCAGGAGAATTGCTTGAACCCAGAAGGTGGAGGTTGCAGTGAGCCGAGATTGTGCCACTGCACTCCAGCCTGGCACCTGGCAACAGAGCAAGACTCTGTCTCAAAAAAAAAACCACCTAGGAATGTTCACTTACCTTCTTCTATGACCCATCGGTTTCCGCCACTTGACTTATTTGTTTGGGTCTAAAAGAGTTTTGTCTTGAGACTCAAATAGGCTTTTGGAATACAGTAAATACCCTAAAGAAGAAAGAACCCCATAATTCGGTTGTCAGCTGCACATACACTTAGGCAGAGAGGGTCAAAGGAATGCCCTCATCTGAGGTGTGGCCTCCCCACCCCATGGCTCCACAAGCAAAAATCCCATATTGAGTAGATAATTCCTGGGGAGCATATGAGGGACCAGAAGCTTCTGGGCTAGATGGAAAAGTTTTCCTCAGGCATTAAACCCAGAGAGGCAGCTGGAAATGGCCAGAAGTCTTCAGTTTAAGGACCAACTTCCAAGGTGCAACGGAGTGCCTGGAGACTGGGGGCTGGGCATATGCAAGGAGAGAAGGCTCCGCATGAGGAGGCCTGAGAGGCCCAGGCTGGTCTGCAGGGCTCTGGATCTTACTGCATCATTTTTGCAACCCTTAAGCAGATGCTACTCTCTTAATGTATTTTCCAGAGTAACCCTCAGAATTAATAATTGTCAAGTTGGCCGGGTGCGGTGGCTCACGCCTGTAATCCCAGCACTTTGGGAGGCCGAGGCGGGTGGATCACGAGGTCAAGAGATTGAGACCATCTTGGTCAACATGGTGAAACCCCGTCTCTGCTAAAAAATACAAAAATCAGCTGGGCATGGTGGCACACGCCTGTAGTCCCAGCTACTCAGGAGGCTGAGGCAGTGAACCCAGCAGGTGGAGGTTGTGGTGAGCCCGGATTGCGCCATTGCACTCCAGCCGGGTAACAAGAGTGAAACTCTTTCTAAAATAATAATAATAATAATAATATAATAATTGTTAACAGAAAAAGTACCTTGGGGAAATACTGAGATAGTTTCTTTTCTGTGAGAATTCTCAGAGCCTTTAACATGAGTAAATGGAAGCTCTAGGAGGAGAATGTATACAGCCCCAAACCCATATGACTGAAGAATCCACTTCTAACAAGCATCTTGCAGAACTTAAGTTCCTGAGAATATATTTTGGAAGCTGCTTTTTAAGCGAGTTGTGCTCACGCTGCTGCTTCTTGTGGGCAGCTTTGAGGCCAATCTCCAGAGGCTGATGAGTCCATGGAGTTGCACATCCAGGTGGGAAGAGTGGTGTCCGCTGCCTGGCAACCACTGTGAGGGCAGCAGGATGGGGTGGGACAACAGAGGGAGACACTGGCATTTAGGACACCGTGCGAGACTGCCTTTGCGTCCTAAATGCCATGAGCGCCCCCTGCCGCTGGAAACTCCCCAAAGCTTTCCTGGAAGTCAGCGAGCAACTAAAAGTAATGCTCAGAACACTTCACTTGCCACCATTCTTGGAGGCACAGGGATACCACCATAGACAGATTTTCTTTAGAAGGCTTTTGATTGTCTGGGCCTTTGATAACCACTGGTTGACTCTCCATTAAATTCAGACAGTTGCAAAACCACCTCAAGCAGACGGTCCCCCAGAATTTGCTATTTGTTGAGCACCTCCTTGTGCCTGTTCCTGCCCCCCAAATTGGGGATTGGGCTCAGATAGCTTCTGGAGACTTGGGGCCTATCCTAAGAAATACCTAAGCCAGGGCTGGCTGCGTGGGTGAAGCACCTGACTATCTTTGGAATGACTTGGGGCCCCCTGGCAGCATCCTGGCCCCTCAACGCTTCCCTCATTCCTGATGCCTACAATACAAGACCAGAGATTTATTCCTGTGGGCCATGAAAGCCACCTGAGAGCAAGCTGCTTTACAGCACAAAAAGAACGTTCCTGTTCACATGCCATCCTGTGACATGGGTAGGGCAGATGTGAAGATCATGAGGGGAGCACTGACAGAGCACTTTCTCTGTGGCAGGCGCTGCTACCAGCACTGCACATGTATGCATCCACTACCAGTTAGCTACAATTCTGAAACCCACAAAGCTTTGAAAAGTCCTATGATCGTTTTCCCCCTAGGACTGATGCAATCTTTTTTCGGTAGCAAAACCTGGCCTGCACTGATTGGAGGCTTCTTATAGATTTTATCCCACTTAGTATAGTCATACATTTTGCTGCAGAAATGTTAATGTATTGGATTATAGACTGTCTCTGCTGTGGATGCTAATTAATGTGTGGTACACACATCATATTACCTTTACAAGCTAACAAATTCTGAAATCCGAACTCCATTTGGCCCAACATTTCAGATAAGGGATTTAGATCTGTATTATCTCACCATCCTCAAGCATCCACTCTAAGATCAGGTATCCGAGAAGCAGAGACATAAAAGGGAACTTACTGCCCCAAAGCACTAATGAGCAGCCAGGATTCAACCCGGGATCTGATGGCCAACTATAAGCTTTAACTGCCGTACTCCACATCTTAGCAATGAGGACCAGAGCAGTGAAGTGGCTTGCCGAAGGTCACACAGCTAATAGGTGGCAAAATCAGTGTCTGAAACTGGGTCTTTGGAATCCCCAATCCAGGATTCTTTCCGGAGCATTTGTGGATCTGTAGGAAGGATAAGTAGTGCTGATGGGACAGCAGGGAGGGGTCTTCTGTGCAGCAACCAGGTGCCTGGGCCAGCTATAACCATACTCAGTTGCTTTGGTTTATTTCAGTTAAACAGATTCACCCTATGTGGAAGTCTTAATAATTGTCTTAAGCTACAGCTCTCAGATCTGAGACCCCAGGTTACTCTGTGTAATGCTTCTGACTCAGCCTAAGGACTGTCCCTGAAAATGCTAAGCATATTTGTGTAAAAAGCTTTATTTCCTTTCCCTCCCACCCCAGTGTTAGGCAGTCACATCACAACTCCCCAACTCTTGTTAAAGAGGAAGGAATCTGTCTGTTCCCAGAGTGAGGTATGGTTTGGAATATAATTTCCATGTATGTGTATGGATTAAGGTTGACCATGCACTCACTCACTCCTTCACACAACAAATATTTATTGAGTACCTACTATGTTCCTAGCAGCAGGCTAGGCACAAAGATGAAAAGATAAGGACCTCACCCTCAAAGAGCTCACAGTCTAAATGAGGAGACAAATGCAGTAGAAATTTCAACAAGGTTATCGTTGAGGCAGTTTGTACCAAGGGTCTTCATAGCCCAGGATAAGGAAGGCCTAATTTGGCAAGGAAGGCTTTAACAGAGGTGGCGGGAGCTTCTGAGCTGAGACCTGAAGGATGAGGGACAGCTCTGCCAGGCCAATGGTGAGCGGGTGCCGCCCAACTGTTCAAACTTCTTGAGCAAAAGCAAAATGTGAGGTCGGTACTCAGCCTGCTTAGGTGTTTGCCGGTTAGAAAGGCAACACTGCAAAGCCAATGATAACAGTGACAGCCAGAATGGGGACCACCTAGTTTACTCCTCTCATTTTACAGCTAAGGAAATTGAGGCAGACAGCAGAAGTAAATCTCTGCTTGGGGCTTTGAAACCGTTTATCTGGGGTAGAACTGCCATCTCTTCCCATCCCTTTCGGACAACACACACACACTACAACGAACTATTTGGTATCATATATGCTACATAACTTTTACACATCAAGATGTTTTTTACATTCTGTGACTTAATGTATGGCATCCAACTTATTTGACCAGAGTTTCCAGAGACAGAAAAATGAAGCAAATACACAATTCCTATCAGAAACAAAATGAAATAAAATAGAAACCACAGGAACAAGGAATTTACTATTTAATTGATAAACTGGCATTTTAAAGTGTTAATTTTCCTTGACACTGAGATAAATTCAGGAGGGCCTAAACCCTGGTCACTTGAAGAAGGCCAAACTAATGTTTTTCTTCACGAGATATCCCAGCTCCAATCTCCTGAAGGCTTATTTTCCTGATGTTCAGGTAAAGTCACTCAACTGTATGGCAGCTTCTGCAGAACTCCCAAGTGGCAGTGTGTTTCGCTTGGCGTGAGGCAAGTCCTAGGTTATCATAGGTGCACTTCAAGCTCCCCTCAGAGTTGCTGATAGAATTGGTGCAATGTCCAGTTCTGGGCTGAGACTCTGCCCCAAAAACCATGACTAAATTTAGGCTAGAAAGGTTGGGTGTCTAAATTTTTAAGCTACCGAGCTGTAGATAATCCCCAAAAGCTGAAACACACAGGCAGGAAAAGTAGACGGAAAAAGAAACACTAGTTAGTGGACTTTTTGGCCTAGTTTTCTGCCTTGCCTGGGGACACCATGAAAAAGAAAAAATAGGCTGGGTGCAGTGGCTCACTCCTGTAATCCCAGCACTTTGGGAAGCCGAGGTGGGCAGATCACCTGAGGTCGGGAGTTTGAGACCAGCCTGATCAACATAGTGAAATCCCATTTCTATTAAAATGCAAAAATTGGCCAGGTATGGTTGGGGGCACCTGTAATCCCAGCTACTTGGGAGGCTTAGGGAGGAGAATCACTTCAACCTGGGAAGTGGAGGTTGCAGTGAGTAGAGATCATGCCACTGCACTCCAGCCTGGGTGACAGAGCAAGACCCAGTCTTAAAAAAAAGAAAGAACAGAAAAAAAAACATAGAGTCAGACACTATCAAATTTACATTCGAATTGCTATATTTCAAAACTGAGTGAAAGTACATATAGATCAAGTGTGACAATAAGGAAAATCAAACTAATTGTTGGGACCAGACCTCCTCTGTTCCCATGAAAGGTTTCTGAGGGCCTCCTTTACCCTGGGTTTTGGGTTAGTGGCTGGTAATACTTTTGGTCTATATCATTCAAGCTTTTCTTTCCCTCATATCCAGTTGCTTGGTTGATAGCTGCAGCAACCTGATTTTGATTTCAATTCATTGTACAATTCCAAGCTGCTAATAAACTACTCTCTGACCTACACTTTGCCTTCCCTTGGCCCTTTATCCAGGCGGAAGTCCTGAGGGCTGCCAGGCAATCCACCTGGGTGCAGCAAAATCTGTCACCACACTGGTCTTGACCCCGGACTCTCCCTAAGTCCCAAACACCACAAAAAGATTTTCACGGGTCAAACAACCCTCATAAATCTAGCACATAAAAAAATCTATTTTCTGTTGGGCACTGTAGCTAATTTAGATTTTTCTGAGTATAACTGAATAAGCTTGGAAAATAGATGTGGCTTCTTTTTTTAAAGGAAGCCCCTGTTAATGCTGGTGAAAGCCATTTCTATGAACCCCTATGTTGAGCTGGAAGCAGACAGTTCTAATTCTGAGCACCTCATGCAAATGTCTGACTTGGTGGGTCTCTTGTTTGTTCAGTTCAACCGCTGCATTACCTCCCAGATGATCAAGTGGTTCAGCAACTTTCGTGAGTTTTATTACATCCAAATGGAAAAATTTGCCCGGCAAGCAATTTCAGATGGTGTCACCAATCCCAAAATGCTGGTGGTTCTCCGCAATTCAGAACTGTTTCGAGCTCTCAATATGCACTATAATAAGGGAAATGACTTTGAGGTAAGACCACGTACTGGGGTCCCATGAGGTCTGATGAGCATCTTCTCTATGTGATTCGAGTTTTAGGAAAGATCCCCATTCTGTGTGTGTCCTTAAGTTATTGAGAGCCAGGGAAGCCTGGGGCCAATCTCTGTATCATCCACAAAGACTACAGTCTCTTAGGCAACAAGGTAGAAAGCAGCAAACTGAGTCTCCAGCTAGTCTTCATTCTGAAGTTTAGGCAAAGGTCTCCCAGTGTTCACCATCTTAGACTGAATACCCTGTAATTATCCAGTTACATAACTTACTGACCTTTTTGCCTTAGTGCCAGGAGGCTCAGGACTGGATGCTGAGCACAGCTGTAGCACCTAGTCTTGGCCTAGGTTTTCTCAACAATTTCTATGCTTTTCATGATTTGGTTCTTACCTGTATTTTCCCTTGAAAATGTATCTGTGGGCCTTCCATAGCAAGTCACCTCGAATCTTCTCTGGAAATAATAAACAACATTCAACCTTCTCAGTCCCTTGGGTATCCCTACAAAGGCACACTGGTGGCACCTCAGAGGTAAAGTGTCAGTGAAGGGTGAGCCTAGGTGTCACTGGTGCACATTCCTAATCAAGAGACATGTGTTGCCTCATGCACAGCTGACAGCTCTGTTAGGCTGGCATCTGATTCTGCAGGTGCCAGGTACATCTGGTCACAGATTACACTTCCTTCTTCTTGCTTTCTCCCTTGACTGTGATCACAAAGTGTTTATTGATACCTCCAAGAAATATAAGAAATGTAGTCTGACTGGTTGACTGGCCAGTCAGAATGTGTTTGGAAAGTTAAGACTACCTGTGGGGAAAATGGACCATGCCTCCCTTTCTGAGGCTCAAGGGGTCAGGGCCAGTATGGGACAGGCAGCACTGCCATATCTTTCCACATAGGGTGGTCATTTGGCCTGGAGTGGTGGTAAGCCCCAAGTCAAGCTGGGTCTGGAACTTGGCAGTGGGGCACCCCATCATTCATGGTGCCAGTCTGGGTTAGGGTTCTAGAACAGCGCCCCCCCCGTCAACTGGCTCTGAAAGCAGGAGTGTAAGCCCTTCAAACCCAGCCCTAAAAGGCAGTGGAATGAGGTATAAGAGTCAGAAGCTTGGGGGCACTCCTTTCCACAGTTAGTACTAAGGAAACGAATGCCAAAGTCTCTTTGAGCCACAGATTTACTTTCAGTAAGATTTTCTGACCTACTTAGTAAAAAGTCACCCATTAGCGGGATCAGCTCCTTCTATAAAGGGAGTGTCCTTAATTCACCTTCTCTTGGGGCTGTCTCATTGGAGTTGTCATATCAAGGTTTGTGTTTGATGAGAAAGCAGAGGATTTCTACGGTTGCAGAATCAGGGGCCAGTAGAGCAGGGATGCTCCTAGCCCACTACCCAAGAAACAGGCAGCATCCACTAGTGAGGTCTGTGGCACCAGTGCTTCCCAACCTCATGTCTTTTCTTTCTTGTGGGTCTCTTTGGAAATGCAGGTTCCAGATTGCTTCTTGGAAATCGCCAGCTTGACATTACAGGAGTTCTTCAGGGCTGTCTCCGCAGGGAGAGATTCAGATCCTTCCTGGAAGAAACCCATTTATAAAATTATTTCGAAACTGGACAGTGACATCCCAGAGATATTCAAATCTTCCAGCTATCCCCAGGAGCTGTTTCAGAGTTAAGATCCCACAACGTGAGGAGTGACTGGCTAGTTCCTGGGCTTGTGTTAAATGGCAGTTTAGCCATAGTCATATAAAAAAGGGCACAAGGAAAACCCCTCTAGGATTTAGGAAAATAGGCACTATTACCATTTCGATCATTTATTTCCTTTCCAGAATCAGCAGAAATTTAACTTTAACTATAAAATATACTAGCTGTATTAGTGTATGGGTAGTATATTGTGAAAAGGAACACAAGTTTGGAATCAGAAGACATGAATCTCAACTCCATTGTTTCCAGGGAGTTGTGACCCTGGGAACTTCCTGGTGTCTCTCATCTGTAAAATGAGGTTGTTAAGGATTAAAGGACAGTGTGTCCTATGCAGTGTTATTCACACACAAATGTTTTTTGAACCCCACTTTCACATAAGGTTATCTTATTTGGGGTTTTTACAAATTGCTGTTTTTAGTCACCTACTTATAAAGCACCACCTATTTGCTAGATACTTTCACATACTTTAAGCTTCTCACCCTGTAAAGCAGTTACTACTATCATTAAAAAATGACCACCAGAAGCTTTAGAACTGCAAGGTAACTCGCCAAAGCCTATGAGGCTAGGACATCTGGGTTGATGGGACGGTCAGGAGCCTGGAGGAACCAAGACGTTCTGATGCCTGACTGCATGCTGGACCATCTCCTGCTGCTAACTCAAGATCTCAAACAGGACCCCATCCCTAGTAAGCATCCAGCATTGGCAGGGCATTGTCACCTGAAAACTCCTGCCTAATACTTAGGAGCAATTCACCACCCAAGATTTCTGCTGATCATTTCAGCAAACCCAAGACAAACTTTCTGCAGGACTTGAGTGTTGTTGTCTATTTACATTTGTCTGCGGGAAGAGTTTATCAGCTGGATAATGCAATAGTCTCTAGTTGACCACTGCAATTGATGCCCCAACCTCATATTTGCAGAAGAAGCTGAACTTCAGACTGTGAAAGGCAGAAAGGGCCTTTGGAGATCATCTGGCCCACCCTGCTTAAATTAGGAAGGAAGAATCGAGGTCCAGACAGGAGGCTTGCACAGGCTGTGCACAGCCTTGCAGATGCTAAATGGCATAACTGGGACAAATGCAGCATCACACAGCAATGGAAATTCTCCCACTCCATAACAAAATTACAGTCCATGGCTGACCTTCCACTGATGCAGGAATTCATGAAATCAATTTTCCTCCCTGCTGGCCCAACACAAATTGTGACCCACTCTGAGCATATAGGCGAGACATGTGCAAAGCTGAGTAACTGCATCTGTCTTCTGAGCTAGTCAGGATCAGTCTTTGTATGCACTGCCAAAGGTACGCGGGGTGGGGTGGGGGTAACAGATAGCTCAGGCTTTGTAGTCCTGATAAGCGGTGTCTGTGAGTTCTTTAGCTTACTTCTTTCCTGTCTATATAAAACAAGTTTCCATATTCAGCTACTCAACTTCCATGATTTTTCTGGTGGGGTGCTAGCTGGAGCAGATGAGATAAAATTCCTAAAGTATTACTAGATCTATCAGCATAAAAAGGTATAAAAGATGAATTTTCCTTTGAATTTTCTCTTACTTCAAACAGCTGAAAGGAAAAACAAAACAGACTTAGCTCAAACCCCTCTTTACAGGCTATTTAAAGGTTATTCTTAAGTGCCCTTCAATATATCCAATTGCACTCAGAAGATCTTTGCCCTATTTTCACAAAAATGAAGGAACCTGCCAAACCTAGGTTTTAAACACAGGCAAGCATGGAGTGCTCAGAGCAAGGACAATCAGTGTTCTGTGTCTGGAGACAATAGAAGAGCCCTCTATCCAGAGTGACATTACATTCAGGGGAAACAAGTTCACATGATTGTCCAATAGAGAGCAGCCCTTCTTCTATCCCAAACCTGAAATTCATTAGTGTGTGTTTTAAAGACTGAGTCAAGTCACCGCCAGGGCAGTGAACCTTGTCTCAGGGACCAATTAGATGAAATGTACAAGCTCAAATTGAAAACATTTGTGTATGGCAGTCTTTCCAGGAAGTGTTCTCTAACCACTGAGCTAAACACAGAAGAATGTATAAATATATATGCTCTGCCAACAGAATTCTATTCTATTATAATTTTCTGTTTCTACCAAGTGTGTATCTCTCTGTTGGAAACACATGGAATGTAAGCTGAGTGGGTTATTATGTTCTTTTAGCAGTCACACTTTGCCAAAGATCTGGTCATTCTTTCCATTAAGGTATATAAGGGTGCTATGTTTTTATTTGAGACAGGGTCTCCCTCTCTCACTCAGGCTGGAGCACAGTGCCATGATCACAGTAGCCTCGATCTCCCAGGTTCAAGTGATTCTCCTACCTCTGGCTCTCGAGTAGCTAGGACTACAGGCATATGTCACCATGCCCAGCTAATTTTTAAAAACTTTTCTGTAGAGACGGGGTTCTTGCTATGTTGCCCAGGTTGGTCTTGAACTCCTGGGCTCAAACAATTCTCCCACCTTAGCCTCCCAAAGTGCTAGAATTATAGGCATGAGCCACCATGCCCAGCCTTGGGTACTCTCTCCTAGATTAGACATGTTCAAATATTGCATAATTGTCCAATTTCTCAATGGTGGACAACAGGGTCTGCACTGTGGTTTATGACGATGGCATTACTGAAGAGTTAATGCCCAATTATCAATGAAAAGCAAGCAGTTAATTGGCATCCCAGGCAGGAAAATGTTCGTTAGGAACCTTTCTTTTTTTGGAAACAGAGTTTTGCTCTGTTGCCAAGGCTAGAGTGCAATGGCATGATCTTGGTTCACTGTAACCTCCACCTCCTGTGTTCAAGCAATTCTCCTGTCTCAGCCTTCCAAGTAGCTGGGAATACAGGCATGTGCCACCACACCCGGCTAATTTTGTATTTTTAGTAGAGATGACTTTCACCATGTTAGTCAGGCTGGTCTGGAACTCCTGACCTCAGGTGATCTGCCTGCCTTGGCCTCTCAAGATGCTGGGATTATAGGCACGAGCCACCATGTCTGGCCATTAGCAAGCTTTATTTCAAACACTGTTTCATATAGTATACAAATCCCAAACCAGATTCAAACGGTGAGAGGCTGAAGGCATCTCCTGGGCATATAAAGGGTACCTAAACAATTTTTTTCCATCAGAGAATGAGCAAAGCATAAATAGCAAACAGCACAATGCTCTTTAATAAAGCTCTACACTCAGCCCTCTTATGGAGGCCCACTTTTAAAATACTGTTTTTCCTTTCAATGACAAAATATAGACTCCTCAGGAAAAAAAAAAAATTAATGTTGCACTTTCCTAACCTAATCTTACAAGTGTTTTTGGAAAATATAATGTTTGGCTGGGCAGAGTAGCTCATGCCTGTAACCCCAGCACTTTGGTAGGCTGAAGTTGGAGGATTGCTTGAGCCCAGGGGTTTGAGACCAGACTGGGCAATGTGTTGAGGCCCCATCTTTACCAAAAAAGAAAATACAAAAATTAGCCTGCATAATGGCGTGTGCCTGTAGTCCTGGCTACTTGGGAGGCTAAGGTGAAGATCATTTGGTCCTGGGAGGTTGAGGTTGCAATGAGCCGGACTTTTAAAAGTCCTTACAGGCGGGGTATGGTGGCTCACACCTGTAATCCCAGAACTTTTGGGAGGCTGAGGTGGGCGGATCACGAGGTCAAGAAATTGAGATCATCCTGGGCAACATGGTGAAACCCCATCTCTGCTAAACATACAAAAATTAGCTAGGTGTGGTGACATGTGCCTGTAGTCTGAGCTACTCGGGAGGCTGAGGCAGGAGAATCACTTGAACCCAGGAGGCAGAGGCTGCAGTGAGTTGAGATCGAGCCACTGCACTCCAGCCTGGCAATAGAGTGAGACTGTCTCAAAAACAAAAAAACCTTACAAAATTAGCCAAAATTTTGGTAACCAGCATTCTGAAGTCCTACATAGTCTAGATTTTCATAATAATTGATTCTAGTCCTTTTGTTTATAGTTTTGATCCTTATGATCTGTAAAGCAGATCATTAATATTTACAATCAAAACAAAACAAATTTTAAAAATCTTTTGATGTTTTTTCACAAACTGTTAAGTATTTGCACAGATTTCACATAAAGCAAGATCATCAGACAAGATAATGAAATACAGTCATAGGCACAAAAGAGATACTGAATACCTAAAACAATGTAACTCTTATCAGGCTGAGGATTATACACATCTCTATTGAGTTCTGTACAAGCCTTAACTGCTTCAAGGATTGAAGCTTTCAGGTTGAAGGAAATGAACTTGTGACAATATGGAAAATGTAATGCTTCTCATGAAAGTATTGTATAAAATACTCTTGGTCAAATTTACCACAAGTATAAACACATACACCTGTAAAGTATGAGCTCAGATGGTCACGTGAGAGTATTAATAATGCATGCTGTATCTCTGAGGTAGATCATGGTATGGTGTCTACATTTACAAATAGTTATTAAGCACTCACCTGTGGAAGAAGATGATTCATGAAAAGACTATTTTTCAGGGTTAGACAATTCCTATATACAAATAAAATGCTTTTTTTTTTTTTTTGAGATGGAGTCTTGCTCTGTCACCCAGGGTGGAGTACAGCAATGTGATCTCGGCTCACTGCAACATCCACCTTCCGGGTTCAAGCGATTCTCGTGCCTCCGCCTCTCAAGTAGCTGGGATTACAGGTGCACGCCACCATGCCTTGCTAATATTTGTATTTTTAGTAGAGACAGGGTCTTACCATGTTGGCTAGTCCGGTCTTGAACTCCTGAGCTCAGGTGATCTGCCAGTTGAAGTGCTGAGATTACAGGTGTGAGCCACCACACCTGGCCTTCTTTTCAATAATCCTAAGTAGCATATATAATCAAGTGCCTAAGAGTTGAATGCTCAGTCCTACTTAACAACAAAACAAAAAAGCAAAACAGACGCTAGCCTCCAGAGGAAGGGAGTGTCTGACGAAATGTAGAAGGCAGGTGGGCGATGAACACAGAAAAGGAGCAACCCCAAACCGCGCCAGTTTTCACGTCCGTCTCCGCACTACGGGTCTGCGTTTTCTTTCACCAAGAGTTTTTCAGGGTGATTTTATTTCTCATGATCTTCCCACTTCATGCTCAAAAACTCTTGATTTGCCATTTCCAATTCTCCAGTCACATCTCACAAAAAATGTCAGTTCCTTTTCTTCCCTGAGGAAAACCTTTTTCTTTCCCCAATTTACTGATTCCCGTGGCTCTGACTGCCATGCTCTTGGTAACTGCTTCTGGACTGGAGATTCAGCTGTCGGCAAGAATGTTGTTCCTCCAGTTCCCCTTTCCCCACCTTTATCCTCAGGTATCTGACCTGACACTGCTTTCCCCCACCCCATTTGCTTTCCACTTTAACCAATACCTTTCCCAAGTCAAGTAGTTTGCTAGATGCATGGGCTTTGGGAATGTGTATTCATCCTGGCTCAACCACCTATCAGCTACGGATCTCTCTAAATTACTTACTCTTCCTGGCCTCAGCTTGGCCATCTGTAAGACAGAAATAATATAGCACCTACCTCATAATATTGTTCTAAGGTTCGGGTAAAACAATACATGTGAAATGCTCAGCACGCTTTTAATGCATAGTATGTGCTCAGTAAAGGTTAGCTGTATTACTGCTCAGCAGTCATAAATTGTTATCAAGGTCATGAATTTGTACTGCTTCACAGTGAAAAAGAATTCTTAGCTTAAAAACATCACTGACGTTTAACACTGATGCAAGCACAAAACTTAGGTTTAAACTATGTTAATATAGTTTGAGAAGAAAACCCAGCTAAAAAGCTGTGTGCTATAAAGTTTATATGCATTTCCTCATTTACTTTTTAATTACAACCCCATGTTGATGTGTTTACTTGACAAGTGGCATGACGACTATTGCTGTTTCCCAGCTGGTTGCTCAGACACTGACCTGCTTTTGCCTTACACAAGGGATACACTTTCTTTTGAGATGGGGTCTTGCTCTGTCGCCCAGGCTGGAGTGCAGTGGCACGATCTCAGCTCACTGCAACCTCTGCCTCCCAGGTTCAAGCGATTCTCTTGCCTGAGACTCCTGAGTAGCTGGGACTACAGGTGCCTGCCACCACGCCTAGCTAATTTTTTGTATTTTTAGTAAAGATGGGATTTCATCATCTTGGTCAGGCTGGTCTTGAACTCTTGACCTCGTGACCCACCCATCTCGGCCTCCCAAAGTGTTGGGATTACAGGCGTAAGCCACCGTGCCCAGCCTACACTGCATTTTTGACATCCTCTTAATTAAAAGTCCAGTGACTAATGTGGTATTTCTAAAATTATGCAAATTGCATCTCTAACCACTGTTTTTTGGGGCTGTATCTATGTCCATTGAGTAGGCTAGTTTTGGCTTGAATATTTTCTTAACTTCTGTACAGTTATTCAAAACAGCTCTGTAGCTGTTCCACTGGATAAAAGGGGCTGGTTCATTGCTTTCTTAACTGGGTGAGGGGTAGGAAGGTAAACATTACTGATACAATCCTGGTTTTCTCCCCTCTTACCACTTAAATCTATATTTAGGATTACTTTTTCATAAAGATTAGGTGTTGTTTTTTTTTGGATACAGGGTCTTGCTCTGTCACCCAGGCTGGAGTGCAGTGGCACGATCTTGGGTCACTGCAACTGCCACCTTCTGAGCTCAAGGGATCCTCCCACCTTAGTCTCCTACAGGCCAAGACTACAGGCACATGCCACCATGCCTGGCTATTTCTTTTTAGAGATGGGGGTCTCACCATGTTGCCCAGTTTGGTGTGGAACTCCTGGGCTCAAGAGATCCACCCACCTCAGCCTCCCAGCACTGGAATTACAGGTGTGAGCCACCATGCCCAGACTACTTTTTTTGACTGAAAGTAATCCAGTCTCCCTTCTGGTTCTTTTCATCGCTAGTCACTAATGTTGATTATCTTCTCCTCTGATCTTTCATGAGTGTGGGCTGGTGATTATCAGAATATTTAAGGCTCTAAATGTCTTCTGGCTAGTCTGTTTCTACATTGTCTTTTTCGAATCAAGCTTTATGAGACAATGGGACTGTCAACATGAAGTTTTGCTGACTTCTTACTGTATTAAATTTCTAACAAAAAGACCACAATTACATCAGGCAGAATACATTTGTAATAAATAACCCAAAGCTGCTTTTGCTCAAGATGACTATCTTGGTGTTTAGACACTTCTTTCCACACATCCCATTACTTCATCAGAGCTGAGCTTGCTGACTCTGAACTGATTCAGAATAAACTCCAGAAACTCTTATTTCCTATAGAATTCTTGTCAAAAACGGTGACTCCAAAAATAATTTCTAAGGTAGACAGTGGGATGTGGGTACAAGAGCAGAACACAAATGAAAACTGTCATGTCAGATTGTGATTTATCAGCAAGTCCTGGGAACAGAAAATTTAACAAAACTGGACTTCTTCAACAACTTAATTGTGACACACTAGTTGCAAAGATAATTTAAATCTTCATGCCATGTGAATGTTAGACATGATTATGTATCCTTAAGCTCTGGAGACAGTAATCACTGAAGAAATGTGAGTGAGGCAGGGTGTGATAGGTTGGCTCAATGCTTATAATATGCTATTTAAAGTGACTGTTTCTTTCTTTCTTCTTCTTTTTTTTAATTATAAAGCCATGTCTTTTCAATTCAAACACATCAGGGCATTTCTCTGGGAGGCCAATAGTCTTCTTACTGTTTTAGGACTAAAAATGTACAATGCCTATTTACTGAGCAGGTCTCAAATGTCCTAATATTTGGCAGAAAAAGAACTTCCTAGCATTCGATCAACTGCTGTTGTGCCAGAATTGGTAGGTTTGTCCAAAAATTAAGATCAGTAACAGATTCCTATGCTCTGGAGAGTATACTTCTCATTTTACTCCCTTCATATAAAGCAAGTGACCATGCTTTAACTACTCAAAAGCATAGTTACTGAGAAAAGCACCAATAATGATCTCATGAAACAAAAAAAAGACTAAAAAGCCACTTTATGTTGCAAAAGCTATGCTACTTACCTCCTTAAAGCAGTAGTCCCCAACAATATAAAGTCCTGAAGTTAAGTCATGATGGGACTACAAGCAAAGTGACTCATTCGATACTCATTCTCTTAACAGTTCTTCAAATTCCCACATGGAGTTCTGAATCTTGATTATGGGAGTGGTGATTACATGAAGCTACATGAGATAAAATTGCACAGAACCAACCACACACACACCCACCACCCCACACAAACACAGAGTACATGAAGCGAGATAAAACTGCCACAGAACCAAACACACACACACACACACACACACACCCATGCTTGTAAAACTGTAAAAGCTGAATAAACTCTGTGGAGTGTATCAACATCAATTTCTTGGCTTTTAAAGGTTTTGACACACATTTCTCATTGTATAAGATGTTACCATTGGGGATGGCTGGTTGAAGAATACACCAGGACTTCTCTGCACATTTTTTCCTGCAATTTCCTATGAATCTGTAACTATTTCAAAATAAAAAAATTTTTTAAATGAGAAATAAAAAATTTGGGAGAAAAGTTCTACTGAAAGAGTGCATTTATAAGCACACTTATGCCACAAATAGAGATTATCTTAGGCATCAAAGCAGATTAATTTAAAGAGATCCATTCTAGCTTATTGAAAATAGCAATTCTCATTTTGTTGGGATTTGTTCCATTTTGTACGTGAAAACTAGAACTATGAACTAGTTCTGCTCTCCTTAAAATCAGAAAGGAGAAGCCAGAGAAAAATAATTTATTCCCATTGCACTTCTTTTCTCCCATCTACAACCTCCTCCATAAACCAAATTTCTCCTGTAAGCTTTCAAGTTTAAATAACATTGTACCACGACTCATGTCTGTCTATTGTGAGGAAACTTCACAATTGCAAAGGCCTAGTATTGTTTTCAGGCCCACGGGCAAACATATGTTTTAGATTAAAAGGCATTTTAAATCTTGGCTTTATTTGCTCCCAAGAAGCCAGATTTTCCCTGTGCCTAAGCTGTTCCTTGGCGATCAAGCACTTTTGAAAACTGCATTAACTCTTTCAGGCTAGGTGGATTTTCTTTTGCACATTTAAAGAATTTTATTAACAAGTATCTTTCCAACAACTATCTTCCACACCTGCAAAGTTAACCAACAGACCAGGGCCTTCAAACATTTTGCTTAATGAACCTATCATCAGCTAGAGGTGAAATAAAATTTAAAATCCCCTTTAACCCACCAGTTCCCAAAGTTGGCTACATATTAGAATGATCTGGTAGCCTTTTAAAAAATTACCAATGGCTGGGTTCCATTCCTAGATTCTGATTTAATTGCTATGAAGTGTAGCCTGAGCTTTCGGAGTTTTAAAAGCTCCCCAGGTCAAAGCTACCACTTGAGTGCACAACTCTTCACACTTTTCATATTTCATAATTCTTCCAAAAATCCATACATAAAGAAAGGAGTAATCATCTACTCAAGTGCTTATGGAATCTAAGCACTCATTCCACCAGAACCTTACCAATCCAGGAGTTAAGGCCTCCAGTGTCAGTCAAAAGCCTTCCCTCTGACCCTGAAAATAAAACACTGGGAATGCTGCCTTTCAGGTCTAATAGAGGCCCTGCCAATGCACTCAGTTTCACATCTAGTGAAAACAGAAGGCTCAGGTGAGAAACAGAAAATCCTCAAAGTATGTTCTTTTAATAAAAGCTTTAATACCTAAACTAATAAACGAGATCCTATTAAGAAAAGTGAGTGTTCCAGACTTTTTTTTTTTGAAACAGGCATAAAGCCAAAAACTGTATTTTCCAGGATCAAACTTGTTTGAAAAGAAGAGGTATGATGTAAGAAAATATTTTCACAGCACCACTGGATCCAGTTGCCATAATTCCAAATGGAGCAGAGAATGACTTGGAAAAAAGAACTTCATGATTAAAGATTATTTTCTCAATTGACATTTTACCTTCCCCAAGATTAAAATAGCACCTATTCCAGAAGCATATTGTTTATGAACTATCACTACTGCTTAGAACCTATCTTGCTCATCCATATCAATTCCAAATCTAGACTCAAAAGGCAGAATTTAAATGAGGGCAGCATACAAAACTGGAATTTTAAAATAATGAGAAAAAAAAGTTTTTTGAAACATCCTACTTTAAATTAAGACTGTTTCTAAAACACACATGCAGATAATTATTAGAACAGAAAAGGAGAAATGGTTTCCCTGGGGTCAATTTAATTCTCCTGTATTTTCCCCAGGGAAATTTTGAAAAATAAGCCTGCAAAAGGCATTTACAAGGATGTTCAATGCAACATTGGTATGACAGTGAAAAACTCACAAAAAAAGGAAAAAGTAATCCATTATACATATATCGCAGAATATACACAAACATGTATGCATATATATTTATCTCTATTTATATATACATGCATGTGTGTGTGTATCTAAGACATAGTGGGTCTGCAGAACAATATTAAAGAATACCAGTCATGTAAAAAAAATAGTAAAACTATATTTTTATAGGCAAGTACATATGTATACAAATACACAAAAATGGTATGGAAAAGCCACACACTCCAAAATGGGAACAGCAATTACCTCTAAGATTCAAGGTATTTGTACTTAAGCGGAAGGGGGTGTTGAGCTTTATCTGTAATATTTTATTTTTTAATAAGGAAAATGAATTCACATCTTATGGCTGGAATAAATGAATTTGAAAGAGATGATGATCCAAAACGCTTAAAGAAATTAAACATAACTATACTCACCTTGACTGCGACAGGTGCCAACAAAGCTTTAATGAGACACATCCTTTTCTCAGTAATAGTAGAAAGCAGTGGAGGGTTTAGAGCAGAAAATTCTGATCAAATTTGCATTCAGGTATGGCCATTCAGCTGTCCACTTAACCAAAGGGAATTCTCACTGTCTTCTTTTCCTGGGATAGGTGTGTGCTCACCATTTAATTGTATACACACAAGGTGCTTACCTGCAACTTGAGAAATGGAGGCACTGGAAGGATGTCACTCAAAAGGGGTAGTGAGGAGACAATATTCATACTACAAAGTGAAAGCCAGCAATGGACAAAAATCAACCCACTGCAAATTCAGCATCTGTATATTACATATACATTGCCACCTGGCTTAATGAAGACAGAAATGCTTTTCCAAAATACCAGTAAAAAGGTGCTGTTCAAAATATTTATATGTAATCTATGTGCAATAAAACCTGATGTTTTCTTTCCTACAAACATCTTCTTTGCCACAACTGTCTTTCAGACTTGTCATCATCCTTTAGGGTGTATGTCAGAAAACTCCCAAAATGACAGCCTATTGGTAACATGTGGCTTCCAGATGTGATTTATTTCTACTGTGACTATTTCACATAAAAATCCAGACTTCCACTTCATCTGGTAACATTTTGGTCTACCTTTCTTCATTCCAACCACTGGCTAGAGGACTGTCCCTGAGACAGGACAAGCACTCTGCACCATCCCAGCCTCCACCATACCCCACTGCTTCCTGAACCCCGAAGCTGAGAGGGTCAAGTGCCCTGTTTCATTCTGCTTCTGCTGTTTTCTCAGAGCAAAGAAAAAATAATCCTGTACTTATGTCTCTACCAAAAGTGGGAAAACAAAGAGCATGCCAAAAGTTTTGAGAATGAGAAAGAGGGCGTTTTTTCCTAAGAGTGAAGAATATTCCTACATGTCTAATCTGCAAACAAAATGTTTCTGTTGAAAGAATACAACTAAACATATGAAATTATTGGCCAATTCTCTTATTTACAGTATCTTCCTGTTCTTTGAAGGCATTTGAATTTGCTACGCCACTAAGTATGAATATGCCACCAGCTGGAAGATACAGAGGTATGGAAAAGCAAACACAGAATTGGTTTTATAAATTATACATATATGAACCTACACGAATTAATTTTATATTTAAAATTCACCAGGTCATCAATTCTCAATATGCTTCTTCAGCAGCAACTATATGGAACAGATACTGCATGTTATATGTTACAAGGTTGGAAGATGAGTAAAACATAATTCTCACCTTCTAGGAGCTCGCATGTAGAATGGGTAGGGATGAGGGGAAAGATAGATGTGTTACTCTACTAGAAAGGCAAATTAGGGAAAGATGGTAGGACAAGTAGAAGCAAAACCTGTGAGAGCTGGAGGGATCAAGATGAGAAACAGCTTCAGGAAGGCAGTACCACGTGAGCTGGGCCTCTGGATAATTCCCCTGCCAACCTTTTTCTTTTGAGACAGAGTCTTGCTCTGTCACTCAGGCTGGAGTACAGTGGTGCAATCTTGGGTCACTGCAATCTCTACTTCCTGGGTTCAAGTGATTCTCCTGCCTCAGCATCCTGGGCTGGGCTTATAGGTGCCTGCCATCACACCCAGCTAATTTTTGTATTTTTAATAGAGATGGGATTTCACCATGTTGTCCAGGCTGGTCTCACTGACATCAGGTGATCCACCTGTCTTGGCCTCTCAAAGTGCTGGAGTTACAGGAATGAGCCACTGCACCTGGCTTTTTTTTTTTTTTTTTTTTTTGAGATGAGGTCTCACCCTGTCACCCAGGCTAGACAGCAATATCAGCTTACTGTAGCTAAGATTTTGGTTGCCCAAATTGGTCTCAAACTTCTGAGCTCAAGCTAGGATTACAAATGTGAGCCACTGTGCCCAGCCGATAATGACAATACCTAAAGGATGAGAAAAAGCAAGGCAGGAACAACAGAAATCCCAGGGAGTGTTCAGAGAACAGTAAGTCACATAGTGTGCCTGCCGTGTAGTGCACATGTAGTAAGAACGGGGGAAGAGGAAGCTGGAGAAGTAACTGGATAATGGCAAGTTGATGAATTTGTCCTTAAAAAGATGAGGAATGGGGCCCTACCCAGTGAAGCAGGTAAGATGCTCATCACTGGAGTGAAAGCAAATAGGCAAATTACATAAGAAATTACAAATGAGACAACAAATTAATACTTCTGTAAACTACTTACATAACAATACACAAATGATTTTCTGTGGAGAAAACTCCACTGCTCTTGTACAATAATTGAATCCATATTCTTTGTTAATTTCACGCTCTGTGATTCATGAGAATTCCACAATTAAGTAGTAAGTGTTTAAGAGGGATCCTAGGTGTATAGCTACCTTATATTGTGAGAGTTTAAGGAAGTTGGTTTCAGAAGTAATCACATTGTTCCTGACACAGACAGTCATATTAGAATGTACTTTCAGGTCCAGAGTTTAGTAACTACACACATGTGCACTTTGCACATGACACACATTATGAAAGAGAATTCGCCATCCTAGACTTTATGGAGATCTTCATAAAGGAGGTGGTTAAGAAAAAGGAAAGTGACAGGTTATGGACCAGGAAACCCAAATTCTAGTCTTGTTTTGGCACTGAGTAACTGTGAGACTTTGAGCAAGTCCCTTCCCTTGTTTGAGTCTCAGAAATCTCATCTGTTAAACAAGAAGGATCTTATCAGAACAAATTAAGGTCTGTCTAACCACTTCTCTAAACATCGAAGGTTTCAAGCTGGCAGCCCACAGGTCAGATGTGGCAGGCAGGCTGTGAGGGCCAAAGCACTCACAAACAAAAACAAAAAGACACTGGTGCTGAAATATTGGAAGATCTCACATAAAAATCCAGATTTTTTACTCATTCTTGAAAATCCAGAAAATCTGGCAATATGGAGCCTATATCCCCACATGGCCACAATCTGCTATGGCTAAGCAGATGCTGCCCCTGATTGACCTAACCTAGTTGTCTAGTTTACCAGTCTCCACCCTCTGCCTTGCTCACTTGTTACCTTCTTGACTCTGATTTTGCCATACATATAGGAAACATTCCCTGTATTTACTCACTCTACACATAGGAGCCTCGCACTGAGGCCAGATGCTGTAAAAGAAATAAGCATTAGACATATCTACTTGAGAAATACAAACTCACTGACGGAAATAACAGATTTGAGAGTGGGATTTCAAGTTATGGCAGAAGATATTATTTAAATTTTTAAAATATGGTAAGAGATGGATCTGTAGCCTAGATCAATATTTTTAGGAAAAAGAATATGAATATTTGGTAGAAAATTTAAGCTTCTTAAGTAGAAGATGCAAAGTCAAGACTTTCCCTGTACAGTAAACCATTAAGTCTACAGGCTCTTGGTAGGATCACAAATGTAAGGCACTGCTGGCAGGCAAAGGGCTGTTCATGAATGCAGAAGCTAGCCCCAGTCATAAGGATGCTCCTTGACTGCTTCAAATATGAAAGCAACAGACGTGAAAACTGAGATCAGATCAGTTACTGAGGCATATGCGCATTTAAAAATCCAGGTTCTGAGAACAGTGACCTAAGGTATTAACTCTCAGTCATGTGTGGACCAGTGGATCATCCGAGTCTCTGGTCATTCTGGTTCTCTAAGACACATCATGGTTCTTTGCTTTGTCAGACTCCTGTTCATGCAGGATTTTCCAGGAAACAAGATGTGCCTTCGTCATCTCATTATGGTCATACTCTCTTGATAGTAGTTCACCGCTGTGCTGTGCTGGCCCTTAAGCGCTTGTCATTCTTGGAAGATGTCTATGTAAATGATGCCATTGGTATTTTCCTTCATTGCTAGACATCAGGCAAGTATAGGAAGCCATAGAACGATTGAGTATATATGATTCACAATTTATCTTCTTTTTTTTTTTTTTTGTTCATACAAACTGTAAGAAATGGCATGAAGAAATTCACAATTTAAAACAGCAAATGAGAGCATGAATACCCATTAATAGAGACCTGGTAAACTGAATGATAATAAACACACAAAATATTCTGCAGCTGCGAAAGAGAATGAGCTGGAAACCTACTCAGCAATAAAAAGGAATAAGCTACTGACACACATAAAAACTTGAATGAATCTCAAGAAAATTACGCTGAGTGAAAAAAGCCAAAATGCCAAACCAAAAGGGTTACGTACTATGTGACTTCATATTTTTAACATTCTTTAAATAACAAGATTATAAAAATGGAGAAGAGATTAGTGGCTGCCAAGGGTTAGAGACGGGGGAGTGGGGTACTAGTAGAAAGGTAGGGGTGGTTACACCAACCTACATATGTGAAAGAACTGTATACAAATATACCCATACCATATATTCCATGCCATGAAAAGAATCAAGATGCAGCTGAAACAATTTCTAAAATTTTTCAGTAAACCTCTTTGTATTATGAAGCTACCTTTGGAAAACTAAAGAGGGAGAGAGAGGGAAGAAAAAATGGAAATATTTTCTATATGATCTGAATGACCTCTAAAACATATTGGTAAAGAAAAAATAAGGTAGTGTGTGTACAAAAACCAGGTAAAAACGTTAATACTTAATGCTTATCCACACAATTTTTCTGAACATTGGTTGCCTCTACAGATGGAGTCATGGGAGGCTGAGGGTTAAAATGGATGGGACACTTGAACCTCCTGAATTTTGTACCT